ATATATATCCGATCGCCTAAATGGTCAGCTGGTGGGTGAACCAACAAGCGTCAGCGCGCGACTGATGACTGTTCGCCCACGACTCTGAAGAGATATGTTTGCCACTTTTATAAGCGTGTGTTATCCTGATGACACGCGTGATCAATTCTACACTCAGTTTTCCTTCGTCATACGGTCTGCGCCGGGGAGCGACCGACTGTTTATGCTGGGTGATTTCAACGCGCGCGTTGGGCGTGATGCATCGGTGTGGACAGATGCTATCGGTTCGCATGGCATTGGTTCGGCGAATGCGAACGGTGACAGGCTGCTCTTACTGTGTACCACTCACTGTCTGACGATCACGAACACTCGGTTTGCACTGAGTGCGAGTGATATGGCAGCTTGGACGTATCCACGGAGTGGTCACGCTCACCTGCTCGACTATGTCATCGTACGTCAGCGTGATATGCGTGAAGAGCGTATAGCACGTGTACTGCATAGAACTGAGTGTGACACTAATCACATTGGTGCGGACCAAACTGTATATATGTTTCCGTAAATCTATGCATTGCGCTCTTGTCGTGAATCGGAGCCAATTTAACATTCACTCCGTCGGTACTGTGGCGAAACTTATTACGCTGGAGAAGGCGATGGCTGCACGACTGTGTGATGTGGAATGCATAGCCACAGTGGGCGACCTGTGGTACCACCTGCAACCAGGTGACACCTGCTGCTGAAAATATCATCGGGCGCGAAAACTGTAAGCGGCCTAATTACTTTGATAAGAACAATGCGACGATTGGTGCATTAGTGTGTGAGAAGAATGCAGCATTTGTTGCACATGTCGCCGTTACCATTGACTGGGGGAAGAAGAGTCAATTTCGCAAACTTCGACGGCGACTGATCCGAGAGTTCCGTCGCATTAAAAGTGTATGTTGGACTGAGAAAGCGAAGCAGATGGGATGCTACGCCAAACATCGCCAACACAAGGAATTCTTTGCCTTCTTGAAGGCGGTGTATGGACCGAGATTGGAGCCTCTGAGGACGCTGATCGATGGTGGCTCAGGCGCTACCTGCACACAGACTGCAGACATAATGCAGATCTGGCAAAAACACTTCATATCTTGAACAACCGTTCAAAGGTCGACTGGCCTACTTTGAACGGCCTTAAGAAGCACGATGTGAAGGTGAGTCTGACGGACACGCCGATACTGGATGAGACGCAGAGCACTTGCTCAGTTGCGAAACGCCAAATGTGCCAGTGCCGACGGGATTCCGCCGGAAGTATTGAAACACGGCGGACCCGCGTTGGTGACTGCGCTTCACCACTTGGTGCAACACGTGTGGCTTGAGGAGATTCCTCCTGAGCTGAAGGATGCCCTTGTGCTACCACTGTACAAGGGCAGAGGTAGCAAGCAATGTTGCACGAATTATCGTGGCATCAACTAACTGAGTTGTGTGGGCAAGGTGATTGCCCGAATCCTGCTCAACCGCCTCGTCAGTCAGGTTGTGGAGCCGAAAGTGGCGGAACAGCAGTGTGGATTCCGTTCGGGTCGCAGCACTATAGATATGGTGTTTGCGGCTCGTCAGTTGCAAGAGAAGTGCAGAGAACGACACCAGCCATTGTACTCGATTTTTGTTGATTTCATTAAGGCATTTGATACGGTGAACCGCGAGGCATTGTGGCTGGTGTTGGCTAAGTTTGGTTGCCCGCGTAAGTTTATAAGTTTGATTGAATGTCTTCACAGCGGTATGCAGGCGAGGGTGCAGCTGAGTGGAGAGACATCGGATGACTTTGCAGCTGTCAGTGGTGTAAGCCAATGATGTCTTAGCTCCTGGCATGTTTAATATTTATCTTCATGCAGTGTTATCTTGTGCTTTTGATGCGGCATGTGCTTACGGTGTTCGTGTGGAGTCCCGTATTGATGGTGGTTGTTGAACATCCGTCGTTTCGGTGCGAGAACCCTAATCTGTGAGACAACTATCCGTATGTTGCTGTTTGCTGACGACTGTGCATTGTTTGCACACCGCGTGGACAAGTTGCAGCACATGACTGGTGCTCTGGCTTCGACAGCGGCCAAATTCGGGCTCACCATCAACACAAGCAAAACTGCTTGTCTTTTTCAGCCTTCACCGGAGGTGCAATCTTCAATATTGCCGCGAATCAGCATTGGTGCTGAAGTATTGGAAACCACCTCTCGCTTCAGGTACCTTGGGAGTGTGATATCGACTGACCAGCAGCTACACGTTGAGTTGCGTAATCGCGTGTCGAAGGCAGCGGCGGCATTCGGGAAGCTTGAGTACCGAGTGTGGAACAACCATCAGCTTAGCATTGACACAAAGCTGATGGTGTACAAGTCCATGGTACTGTCCGTTCTTCTATACGGCAGTGAAACGTGGACGATGTACCGTCGGGATGTGCGATATCTCGAGCGGTTCCATCAGCAGTGTCTGCGACGAATTTTGCGCATCAGTTGGGGCGCCAGAGTTGCAGACACGGAAGTGTTGTGCCGAAGTGGGATGTATGCAGTGGACTGCATGCTTTTACTGAGACACCTGAGATGGCTCGGTCATGTGTGGCGCATGGATTCGACTCGGATACCGAAACAACTCTTATACGGTCAGCTGAGTATTGGGAAGCGGCACGTGGGGAAACCAAAGTTACGTTACCAGGACATGATCAAAGTGAGCCTCACACGTTCTGATCTTGATTGCAGATCATGGGAATCGAAAGCGGTTGATCGGCGCGTATGGCGCGATCTCATCACGAAGGCAGTTGCTGAAGTGCGGGAGAAAGACCTCACGCATGCAGAGAAGCGGCAAGTTCGGAAGCGGCAAGCACCGATGGATTGTAGTTCATCGACATCGAGTGCATGGTGCTGTAGCACATGCGGTCGCGAGTGCCTGAGTCAGACAGGCCTAGTAAGCCATGAGCGATGCCACTCGGGACTACTACCGAAGCGCCGACGGGTTCTGCAGAGAACGTAGGCAGAACCGGCGCAGCGTTTGTAGGTACGCTGCATTCGATTTACTAACCGCGTGCTTGCTTGCTAAGTCTCTTTATTTCAGATGGTGGGTTTTCAGTTTTACCCTAATGCTTTCTTTCCTATATAAATGCCTAGCTATACTCTCTTCTATACACTTGCACACGTCGTTTAAGCCACCTGTACTTATTCGATAACATTTTCGTGTTTGTAGCATTTCCGTAAAATAAACCTCCTGACCTCGCGAACTTACCTCGTATTCTTTTGTAAACGACTTATTTCCTATGCTCACTAATTTAAGATTTATATCACCGTTTGCTTGCGTGCTAAGTCTGTTTATTTCAAGTGGTGGGTTTTCAATTTTGTCCCAATGCTTTGCTTTCTCGTATAAATGTCTACCCGTACTTTCTTCTATAAACTTGCACACGTCACTTAAGCCAATTCTAGTCCTTTCCGAAAACATTTTTGTGTTCGTGGCATTTCCGTAAAGTTTGCCTTCTGACCTCGTGAACTTATCTCGCATTCTTCTGTAAACAACTTACTTCAGATGCTCATTACTTTCCTAGTGAGCTATGAGCGAGGCCACTCGGGACCACTACAGAAGCGACGACGGGTCATGCAGAGAAGGTAGACAGCACCGGCGCAGCGTTTGTTATAGCGCCGGTTCCATCGCGACGAGTGCAATGCGTCGCTCGGGGCGCTCACTCGAGTTCCGGTCCAGTAGTGTGCACACGTTCCAGCACATGATGCTGAGTGCTTTGCGCACAGGCACACGATTGCATTCGTGGGCACTCGCACGCGAGGTGGCGGTTGTGCCTCAGAGGTCTGCTTGAGGGACTCGGCCCGGCCTTTGGCTCGATAGCCTGACCCAGTAGGCTGTGGTGAGCAGATTCATCTCGGGAATTTGATTGCAGAGACAGATTGGGATCTGCTTAAGGTCCGTCACACGCAGCCATTCACATATGTTTTACGACCGTAATAGGATACGCACCTGCGACTACGGCCAGACCCTGGAGGGTTTTGGCGGGTTTGCACCAATTTGACCAGGGGCTGCCTGGCTTGAGGCCGGCAGTAGCAAACCATTGAGCACTCGGAGGTGCCTCCCACCGTCAGAGACAATGCGTGGCGCTCGTGCTCTACACCAGTCGAGCTGTGAGCTTATAACGCGTAGATCTGTTGCCTCCCATGGCTAGGTTTTACGGGGAGAGGGCCATCGACCACTTCCTAACCTCCGAAGAGGATGAACTAGGAGACTGCCAGGGCGCCCACACCTGACAGGGGAACGACTCGGGTCCTCAGCCAAAGGCTTTGTTTAAATGTACACCCGAAAGGCAGCGGGTCTAGCACATGGTCAGTTCACTGACTCATGCGGATTGGTGTCATGGATCTTAGCAGGGAGAAGGGCGTAACCCAACTCCCACCCAGCAGTCGCCACGAGGCTTCCAGGACATTAGGCCATGGCACAATAATAGCAGCAGTGGGTAGACCATTTTTCACGATCTAACCACCACCGGCCTCAGCGCGTCATAGGCACTCCCGTAAAATCTAGCCATGGGAGACAACAGGTTTACGGGTTATAAGCTCACAGCTCGACTGACGTAGAGCACGAGCGCCACGCATTGTCTCTGACGGTGGGAGGCAACACCGGGTGCTCAGTGGTTTGCTACTGCCGGCCTCAAGCCAGGCAGGCCCTGGTCAAATTGGTGCAAACCCGGCAAAACCCTCCAGCGTCTGACCGTGGTCGCAGGTGCATATCCTACTACGGTCGCAAAACATATATGAATTGTTCCAGATTTCCAAAGGCTGCGTGTGACGGACCTCAAGCAGTTACCAATCTGTCTTTGCCTTCGGACCCGATTGAACTCCGCATGCGGACTATTGATGTAATTCGAGACGCTTCCATTTCAAACCAGTGTTCACTGACCGAATGCTGATTTCTTATTACTTAGCAACATTGAACGCAGTATAACCAGTTTAATTGATTTGCCTCGCTTATTTTTCAGATGACCCAATCGCCGACCTGTACTTCACCTTTTTATGGAGGTAACTGAGGATACTTCGGATGTTCACACAGAGGCTGGCTTGCCATCGTGTCAACAAATGTCTTGTGCACAAAAATATACTCATGACTGCAGCGTACTCAGGTGTGATGAATATCAGCCGGTTCCTAAGTTTTGTGAAGACTATTCTGTGAGCAATCAGCTCGATGGTGTAGAACGCGATAAGATAACTGAAAAACTTACAAAAGGAAAGCAGAAAATTCCCATTGAATTTATACATGACAGGACGAAGCGGTACGCTACGTTTTCGAAACGCAAAACCGGTATGATGAAGAAGGCGGTGGAACTCGCGGAACTAACTGGAGCTGAGGTTTTGCTATTAATTGCTTCAGAGACAAACCATGTTTACACCTATGCGACAAGGAGACTGAGGGGCATAATAGACTTGGACTGTGGAAAGGAGTTGATCAAAATGTGCCTCAGCGCAGACGATAATCTTCCAAGCGGGTCCGAAGCGTTAAAAGCTAAAACTAAGCTAAGTGTACCAGATATGTCCAAAATTTACAATGGTTGCAGTGAAGCATGTCACGAAGCAGTGTTACAGAGTAGCGCACATTATTCATTTCCGCCAACCAAAGTGGATAATGAAATCCGGTTCGAAGCGGCTGGCTCCACCCGGATGCGTACAAAATCCCCCGATAAGAACAAAGCCAGTACACGTAATTTAGGCACACGCAGCTATGTTCCCATTGCTCCAAAAACACCAGAATTATCCTCTAAACGACAACGTACTATGTCACTATCTGAAGCTGACGAACAAATGTTTAATGTTTGTTCGTCAGGTGAGCTCCACTCACAAGACACGTCAGAGGCCAGCAATGACGCCTTGCTTACTCAGACAACGTCAAGTTGCCCAGTCCCCACTCCGACTTATTCGTTATTAGCCTCGTCTGGGCAACCGGTTGTTTTTTTGAACACACAGCTAGCAGCGCTACCCGGTTCCTCCACTTGCCAAACATTACCAATATCACCACGCGAAGCTCCCCCAAACCAACAAACAGTGGATTCATCCGCTGGATCACATCACATGCAGAATGCGACTGGAAATGTACCCTGTGACGATCCTCCAGACTGTCTTGTTGCTCATTCTTCAAGTGAAACAAAATCCACGTCTGTCATCACACGATCACCTTTAGCGAAAACACTGCTCCCCAGAAAACCTTTCAGCACTAAACCAAAGAGGTGACAATTGGCTTGCGCTGGGTAATTCGATCAACCAAGATTAAAATGATCTTCTACCCTCTGCCCACACTTGCGCGCATGTGGACCCCAGTCATGAATAATTTCCTCAGCACGCGTTCCTTTCTTGTATGCATGCAAACGCTTGTACCCAAGTTGTCGCGCCAACACCGCCGTTCCATCATGATGGCTCATCTCCTGGCGAAAATCGAACATTTTGTTCACCGTCACTGTTTTCCTATTTTCTACATATTTTAGATCTGCTCCAACGATAACCATAGTTCTCGCGCGTTATGGGAATCGGATGGATTCGGTGTGCAATACTATGCGTTAGGATGCTATATGCAGCGGTTGCTCTATGTGTTTCGGTAGAACGCTTTTAGATTGCGTGGTTACATAGTCAGTCGATGTCTGCGAAGTGTGTTTACAATTGCGAGCGGAATTCATAACTCGGGAAGTATCGGTCTTCTTTGGTACCATTATAGGTAAACGTGTGTTGGCGATAACGGTGATGTGGAGCGCCAAATAAGTGTGATCACACTGTTGTGATTTGCCTGCGGAAACAAATGACACCCAGCGAATAGCTACAGTTTCCACATTACTAGTTGTTTCTAAAAGTCTGGTGATTTTTTGTTCCAGGATACGACGTTACTTGCTCGTTATCTTCCAAAAAATCCACGTAACACAAATAGGACGATACCGAATTCGGTGGCCCATTACACTTAATGAGGAGGTCGTGGTCAAACGGATCAGAGTCCTATTGCCGCTCAGCTCAACAACAAAGTATGGTGAATCCGTTAACTATGGTCCACGTCGCCGTTCGAACAGTTAAGGGCAAATGGGGAAAACAGAAAAAAACTACGCGGCTAAACAAAGCCACAGTGGGGAAAATAAGTGCAGTTCAATCAAAATCCAGTTAGCTTGACATAATAGTAGCGCAAGAGGAATGTACAAGGATTTGAGTCATCGAGTGGAATATCTGAGGATTCAAAGCGATGACGCGTATGCAACACCGCTTATTTACTTCGTGATTACGCCGGATCCGATAATATGATCGATTGTGGGGTGCCCATCTTGGAAGATGGCAAATACTAATACGACTCGGTTCTTCGATGAATTTCTTTATACCTTTTCACCATATCATCGCACCGTGGTCCCACCCAACTAAGCGCAGTATCGGCAAGCAATACACACGAAGTCGGTAGGTGTACAGAACACTTGTTCAAGCCGGCAAGTGATTCAAGTCAAAAAGGCACTATAGTGAGCAACCGGAATGAGTTTGAGCAGATGCCAATTGACGAGACCTCGTAAAGCTCACTCGGTTCAGATTTGTGCAATACTTCGCATACAATAAAGCGCTGGCATACTACTGCTGGTGCTGATGACGGTCATAATTGTTGCCATCTAGATGATTAAGCTACCAGCACTGAGTAATTTGGGCATCGCCACGATAGCGCATGGGCGTAGTTGCAACCAAATCGGCAACGAAAAGAAACGCGTGAGGATAAACATTGTTTGAAGTATACAGTGTACTGGTGAGTGTCTGTCATTTGTGTCTTTCGAAACGTTTTTTGTCCTCAACCGGATGGATGCCAGTGAATGCAGTCAGCAGGAGTGCGCGCCCATCCGAATCCAAGTAGGCCAGCTGGATGCTGAAATGGAGAACGTGAGAAACTGTGATAGCCATGGTTACTTCTTGCTCAATGGTTCCTATTCAACAGAAGATGAGGCACTCTGTTCACATGCTTGTGTGGTGCACTCGCTAGCATGAAACGGATCTACGGTAAATGCGTGACTTTGTCATTGCTATAATACAGTACAATAACGATGGTGTCGCTCTGAAATACATTGAAGAAAAGGAAATCGCTGGCGCACCGCTATTTTAGATCACGATAGGGTTCTCGGCGCAAATTTATGTGCAAAGGTAAACTGCGCTCATCAAACAAGTTACAGTAAATTGCGAACATGAACCAATTTTCGTAGAGACTAGATAATCAGGGCTAAATGGTCCCAATGCATCTGGTTGGCCCCATTGCAACAGATCAGTGTCACAGTGAATTACCCTCCATCATGAACCGGTGTCATACCGTGTGCGGTGTCTGGAGTTTTCTGTGTGATTGATTTATTGTCGCGGACCGTTGCTTGGGTTGGCATAAGGAAGAAAATTCGGTGCAGTATGTTGACTTTGTATGGTTAGTACGTTTTAAATGAGAGTATACAGCGCTTGGGTTCCATTAGAACACGTGATCCAAGCATTGTGTATTCCAAACCCACAACGCTACAATTGTTTATCATCATACTTAATTGAGAGATGCCGTACCAACTTAGACTAGCCTTTCCTTCGTTTAGGATATGCGAATGATAAACTCGTGATCACTTTAGGACAGCTCGTTAGCTACTGAAAGTCTGGCGTGGCATCTTTAAGAGCCATCCGAACTCCATTTACGCTTTCACTTTTAGAAACAAGGACTCCGAAAGAGAGTGCTCGACGACGACCTTAACTTACTCTTCTACGGGGGAACGGTACCTACGGAACTGAAGTCTCAATTCATAACTCCGTCCACCTGCTCAAAAAGAGCCATAAAAGAATTGAAAGATATCGCGTCACAGAATTATCTCTGGTACTTCGGCCTTCAGGCGCGAGCAACTTCATTTTAAGCCTGTTGGGCATCATCGGTAGTACGCATCCATCGGGATTCGAACCCATGACCACCAGCGGCTTGCACCGCCAGTCAGCAGCTTATGTCACGGGGGACAGCCTCGGACCGTCATGATTTACAAGCTAACTGTGATATATCGGGTCTTATCCTCCACTGCCATGCAAGTTACGAACGTTGCAGAGGACAGGGTTGGCCCCGAAACACGCGCCCACTGACAGCAGCTATGTACGACACAGTATTTAGAAACTGTTAGGGCGGATATATTTTGATGTACTCACGAGTAGGGGATTTTGATATAGATAATTGAGGTTCATCACAGCCAGCTTCCAAATCATATAGTCGTCCACATGCCCCGAAAGCACTAGACTGCAGTTTCAGCCTGTTGGGCATTATCAGCAGTGCGCATCCATTAGGATTCGAACCCATGACCGCTAACGGCTCGCACATAGCTGCTGTTAGTGAACGTCGTGTCTTTCGGGGCCAATCCTGTCCTCTGCGACATACGTAAATTGCATGGTAGTGGAGGATAGGACGCGATATATCACAGTTAGCTTGTAAATCATGACGGTCCGAAGCTGTCCCCCGTGACCCAGTGGCATGAGCTGCTGACTGGCGGTGCAAGGCGCTGGTGGTCATGGGTTCGAATCCCGATGGATGCGCACTACTGATGATGCCCAACAGGCTGACTGCAGTCTAGTGCTTTTCCGGGGATGTGGACGACTATGTGATTTGGAAGCTGGCTGTGACGAACCTCAACTCTCTATATCAAAATTCGCTACTCATGAGTACATCATAATATTGGAGCATTGGTCAAACGACCAGGTAAGATAGCGCGCGATTGTTGACAAATTAGAAGGGTCGAAACGGGCGATTATTGTTCGACGTAACAATACAGAGTGGCGGTGGGAAACCATCATGCAGGGATGGCTTGGAATGGATGAAACATATGAGAAGCCTCTGACATCTGTTCATGTTTAATCAGGAATCATACACGAAAGGGGCATAAGATGCCTTGAAATGGGATAACAACAGGCGTATGAAAGTGCATATATATATATATATATATATATATATATATATATAACCTAACTGTCTAATATTTTGCAGGAACCATGTCTTTTGAAAAAAAGGTTCTACTAGAATGCTTTTCTGCAATAGGGCTTCACCAATTTTGTCGATAAAAATGAGAAGCCGCTATGTGCTTTGTGCAGCAAAGTGCTCACGGCGGAGAGCATGGAACCTAAAAAATTGAAAGACGACTTCGAAGGAAGTCATTCTGTTGGTAGGAAAAGACATTGCATTCTTCAAACGGAAAGAAGTTGCGCCAGAAAGTTCGCGCCTGGATACATCGGAGTCCTATTATCAGTCAACTGAAGCTGGTCTTGAAGATTCGTACCGCACGGCTCTCCGAATCTCCAAAAGCAAGAAACCGCATGCTATAGGATAGGATCTCATAAAACTCTGTATAATGGATGCCACGAAGCTCGTTTTTCGAGAACAACATGCGGAAAACATAAGTAGGTTATCACTTTTTAACAACACTAACAAAAGTCGTATGGAGGACATGAGCAACAACATTTGGAACACGGTGCTCAACGAAAAGTCGTCCTTTCTTTGTAATACAGTTAGCTGAGTGGACCGACGTCGCATTTTGTTCTCAGCTACTTGTCTATGGTCGGGACGTAAAAGGCGACGATTTCAAAGAAGAGCACTTATTCTCATAATCATTGAGCACAAGTACATGTGGCGAAGATGTCTTTCGAATAGTGTAGCATTCCGTCAAGGGAAAAGATCTACAGTGGTCGAAGTTGGTGGGTGTCTATACAAACAGAGCATCATCCATGTTGGTCGTCTGTTCTGGATTCCAAACGTTAGTTAAAAAGTTTGCTCCGCACACTACCTTTAGCCACTGCAGCATGCATCGTTATGCTTTGGAAGTGAAAACCCTTCCACCTGCTCTGCTGGACGCGTTAACCAAGGAAGCGGAGATAGTAAATGTCATCCGCGGTAGTGCAAGTACAAGTTTTCGAAGAGTTGGGCAATGAATTTGGAGGCAAATTTGACGTGCTGTTTTTGCACGCAGAAGTGTGTTGGTTATCATGAGGCAAGACATTGCACCGAGTGCTCGAGCATCAAGAAGAAATTGCAATGTTTCTTGAAAAGGTGCTGCATAAGGATAAGGGGAACGGGTTGCATGTCATGATAACAGACAACGTATTGCTTTCCAAACTAGCATATCTTGCGGAGAAATAAATGCGCTGAAGCTCAGCTTGCAAGGAAATATGATAAGGGTTGCCAGTTTTCTTCGCAGTTTGCAGTTTTGCTAACGCAGAACTACGCTTGACGGCGTGTCGATATTTCTAGAATTACCAATGGTGCTCATTGGAAAAAATGAAAAAAGCACATTCACAGATGATATAGCCTGCCAATTGTCATCAGTGATGCATTCTATCAGCAAACGTTTTCCTGATTTGGAAAATCGCCAAGTAAATGCCTAGGTGCTAAGGTTCTTTTCAGTGGATGAAGAAATGTTCCCAGATACTGAAATCGAAGTCAAAGCACAATTCCTAGAAATGCGCGAAAGTAGCGAATTGAAAATAGGTTTCCAAAGCACACAACTGGTAGTATTTTGGGCAAAGTTCGGTGCTATCGAAAAGAGCACTGAGAATATTGATCCCATTCACAACAACTTATAGATATGAAAGTGGATTCTCGACAATGGTGACAATGAAAACAAAAGCAAAAAATCGAATGAACTTGGAGCACGATTTACATCGTGCATTGGCTAGAACTGCACCAAATATACCAGAAACTGTTGGCACTAAGTATTATCAACCGTCTCATTGATGTATATCGCCTCTTGATTGCATACAACGTTGCGCCAAAATAACTGTTTTTTTAATTGATCGTGAGCAATTCCAAATGGCTCACTCCCCGTAATTGGAAGCAAAAAGTGCGATAGTTGTCCCTTAGCGTTTGAAACGGAAATTTTGGAGGTTTGATTATACTAAACCCTATATGTGAATAAGAGCCTCAAAATGGTTAAGAACCGCTTGTGTACGGCAACATGCCAAAAAGATAGGTGATATCGATTTCTAACAGCACTATCAAAGTCGCATCCAGGACATGAGCAAGAATAGTTTGGACGCGGTACTTAATGAAAGAGAGTCATGACTTTTCTTCGCACCACACTCAGATAAGCGGACCGACGTTACATCTTGTTCCGAGATACTAGTTTATTTTCAGTGCATGAAAGGCGACGGCTTCAAAGAAGAGTGCTTGTTCGCAGAATCACTGAGCACCATTACCCGATTTGCGACGTGCATAGTAGAAACCGCACCAAACATACCAGAAACTGTTTATTTAGCACCTCTTGATTTAATGAACAATTGCTCGAAAATGGGGGTTTTCTTTATTTGCATAATCGAAGGCAATTACATATGGTAATTATTTTCCCTACTTTAAAGCAAAAGTGTTATAGGTATTGGTTGATTCACTTCTGAAAGTTTGGGGGATAACTGCTTAGAATGGACCTGCTTTGTAGGTAATGGCCTCAAAAAAGTTGGGAACTACTGATCTAAACGGATGCCAGCCATGTGGGCACGTGACAGTCAGGTGGTGTTGGAGTAGCAACTTTTAATGACTCGACACAAAAAAACTGAGTGTGTCAGAATTTTGGTGAAGATTCGTCGCAGCTAGATTCAGCCAGACATCCAGGAAAGCGGTAGACAATCGTTTCATCCTTATGGGACTCGTCAGTCGGGCGCAGATGCCGAATCCTGTCGGATTTGAATTTATGATCACTCTTACGAGCCAGCGACTTATGCCGCTGTCGGGATTGTCTCCGGTGCGCCGTAAAATTGAATTTGAAGCCGTGTCCGCAAACTTTTGAAACCTTGAGAGAAAGCGAGTTTTGGAGATATTTATCACATTAGTTGAAGTGCGCAGCCCGCTTTGAATTACCGGCTCCCTGAAATGGCGTTCGGACAAACTTCTTAAATAGATTTTGAGCGTCAGAATACGGCGATGGTAAGTTGGAGTAAGAAATTCGGCGCTTCAGAATGGGCAAAGTTCTGTTCCAATTCAGAACAATGGGATGAGAAGGGTTTCAGTGAGTGTTAAGAAGAACGGCTCATAACGGATCTATCGATGAATCTATTAGCATTCAGAAGCTTAAATGCTTTAATTAGTCTAGTTCAAAGCAATCGAATCGATATCTGGCTAGCTAAAATGTAACCACCCGTTATGGCCGACGTGAAATGGAGCAAGGGTCTTGTATAAGAGGCTTGCAACATTAATGCGGCTTCATCGGTCAGAGTGCGCTGTCTTTTTGCTGCATTTAAACTAGCCTCGTATACTAAATTATACGAGAGAATCAGGTTGAATTGACGGTAAAAATAGTGTTTATAAATCGAGTTTTAAGGTAGCAGCCGTATATCGGAAACGATCACGGACACTTTGCTGTCAGGCAACTACCAGAGTTCGCAAGTAGGTTAGGATACTACGGAGTCGCCCGCAACTACTCGGTACAAACCGGCGACGGGTAGACGACAAGTTAGACGTCTGAACTGCTCCATCACGGATCGGACTCTGGTTATAGCAGAAAGGCAGATGCAGATTCTACTGTTGAAAATCTGTTGTACTGGCTCAGGGAACGTCTCCCACTGATTCCGGTAGTAGGAGCAACGAGGATAGAAGTGAACAGGATTTAATGCAAACGAAAATCCGCTGTTTATGTGGCAGTGAGAAAGATCACGGAAGCAAAATTTCCAAAAGTTATTCAGCTGCTGAGGTCACATCTGGACCGGCCCTCATTCCAGAGGAATCTGTCCTAGTTTATGGCTAGGTGGAAGTGAGGCACCAATACAGACTAGTGGCACGCCGATGTTGATAATGAGATCAGAGAGTTGAGTTCAGGTGTTCATGTGCTCTCTGAGCACTGATGATGTCACTTTATCTAGCGATGAAATTTTGGTCAAGCACACGAACACCTGGACAGTCAGCGCGAGCTACAAGTGTTGCGACAAATTCACAGTGCTTGAGTGAACACAGCTACCAGAGTATCCACTCATAATAGTGATAAATGGATCATCACACTACGACGTGGAATCGTCACTAATTAACTCATGTGAGCGGACGTTTCTGCACCCGCATGAAACGACTTAGTAATATGATTACGCCATTCGGTTCGTCGATTAAATGGCCCAGTAACATATCGAAAACTCGTTGCCAAGTAGGAAGTTATGTCAGTAGTTGAACGCAATAAGATAAGCCATGCCGCGATCTTGCGTAGTATTTGATGGCCAAATGGATGGATTCCCAATTCAAACAAATGACAGGACAGATATCATGTGAAGAGTTAAGAAACCCATAAATATCTGCAGCGTCCCGGTTGGCCTGTGTGCGGGAGGATCAGAGTGGACCTAGTCTATAATAAAAGACTGTCGCCTTCTAAATGTGGTATAGAGGTCACGGAAGTGCAGCTGCTGGAGCACAGTTTGTTGAGTGTGTAGTATACAGGAGTATTGGAAAAATTAGCTTGTTGCAATAAACAAAAAGGCCGTTTATCCTGTAGAGAATGAACCAATTTTTTGAAATTAATCCGCACCAGCGGCCTGGCTATTGTTAGTAGTGGTGACAATCCCCAAGGCTGGCTAGCCGAACAACCTCCACGTGGTGCCAGCTGGGTGGTCTGGGTTAATCCTGTTCCACCGAATTGTTCGACAGTAGTGTTCCAGGACGTAGTGGGTTTTCGCCTGTTTAACAACACTGACGTGGCGAGTATTACTCGCCACTAAATAAAGTCACTGCTTCCTGCCTTTCCGGAGCATCTTACACCACTCACGAACGTCAGGCGATTCGAAGATATTATTCGATCTTTTTCTATGTTGGCGAATTCACCGAACTCAACCACAAATTCAGTAAAAAAGCAACAAATTCTCTCAACATGATTACTAACCCATGCACTTAGTATATACACAGAAAACATAACTCCAGTATGTACTGGTTACATAGTAACACTTGTGACAATTTCCGATTATACGCTCTGTATTACTGTGATCATAGCTTTTTAGGCGTGTCCCGCACTATCAAGAATAAAACATTTGTTAATTTATTTAAGTCATTCTCAGTACAAACGGTTAGCACCCTATAAACGCGGTTCTTGTTTCGCTGCTCACCAAGGTGTGCTAATTTATAATAAATGACGTGGACATGTGGCATATCAATGCCAGGGACAACTAGGTTGTTCATCGGCGCTGCAATTTCGGACGCAAGCCCGACAAGAATTTGAAGTGAGACTATTAGAAGAGAAGCTAACGTTACCTGAAAGAGGCAGTGCTAAGAGTTACTCCAAGGGCCAGAATGTCTGCAGGTAGCTGAATTCGACGGATTACATCTTCTTTGATTCCTTCCATTCGTTTTACCATCTGATGATACTGTAAGCATGTTAACTGGGTTGACAATGGCAATATGGCCACGAGACTGGCCTCCACTCTTGGTTCCATGTCTGATGGACTAGTAAAAAGGTTTGGCTCCACGCATCTCCAAGTTAGAACCAAGTGGATGCGGTTGGTACGCATTTCTGAAGTGCGCATACTATCGAGAGTATCACAGGAAACCACGTTCCATCCACCTGAATTGCAGTAAACGGCATGAACAACGGGTGAGGACATGAAACCTATACGCACACAAACTACTACATTCCATTCAAAAGATGACGTTGGAAAACTGAATTAGGATTTCCGTTTTGTTCCAACTCGACACAACAAGCTACGTCGAATCTGGTCACGTAGCCACATGAAACTGTCTGCGTTCCAGTGAATTAGTGATAACAACCACTATCGAGCAGAAACGGTAGCTGATGAACTCCAAAAACTTGAAATTGCCACTTAACACCATTCTGGATGTTTCGCGGTAGAGTAGGGAATTCGTTAATGCTTCCTACGAATACTGCTGAATACAAACCTATAATCGCCGTCCTATAACGTGTAATAAGATATCGTTGGATAGCCTGGTACGGCGAAATATGGGGCAGAACTGTATAGCATTATAAAAATCAGACGTTATAAAGCATTGAATTATTAAAGCGGAGACAATCAATTACAACGCGGTGAACGTGAGTGAAACACACGGCAAAATCAGATATCCAATCATAAAAGCACAAAGTGAATTATTATAAATCAATAATGGGTCTGAACTTATCATGGCAGTACGAGATAATGAAGCAACATCAAAAAAGGTGCGTTCATGCGGGCCTGCGAATACCGACCGAAAGTGCAAGATAATAAACGTTCTACTACCGTGGGGGCACCTACGACTTGTGGGCTGCGGTGCGGCAATTTCGTAAAAAGCAACAAACTTCACATTATGATTGTTGCTAGATGAAAATGCAACAGCAACCCGTACTAATGCGCGAGTAGCCAAAACACAGGTTGAGGTACCAAGACTCGCAGAGGATAGAAAACGATCAGGGGTGCAAAATTTGCAATTCAGTTACGTGAACCATTGCATCATGGAATGACTGATCGACGAGGCTTGAAGAGGTATCATCGTATTACGAACAGTTGTCTGATTCAGACAAATACCAGCATTTGCGTAGGCACCATGCGCACTTAATTGCTACTGTGGTTTAGCCATCAGCATCTGGATACTCTTCTGTCCAATAATCGTGTTTGATGAGATGAATTAGTGCAGAAGGAAACACGGTCGCGATTGACGAGAAACCACCCGTTCGGATTTAACTAATTCATCTCAAAATCAGAATAAGATCGAGAATAACTCTACGTGAGGTGTACAAGTTGAACATAAGTATATGTCGCCAGCCAACTGCAACAACGTCGCCGGTAGTAGCAGTGAGATGTGGCTGAGAGTGCTAGACTCAGCAAGAAGATGATCATGTAGCCCCATCGCGGGGAGCAAAATGGGCCAAGGACGGCACGTCAAAGCTGTAGTTCTCTCAATCCATGAGGCTTGGGAAATGGGTTTCCTCAGAGTTGGTTTCCAGGAATGAATTGCGTGACAACGGGTGCTGTCATCTGGAGTCGAAACTGGGAGGTTAGATGTGTGTACATGTACCACATGCACGATGCACAGTTGCATTATTCTGGTATACACGAGGTTGTTCGAAAGTAGTTAAGTGGTGCCCGTAACACGTCATGATTCAAGCACGGGAGTTGAACGGAGCCGATTTTTCCGGTTCGAGTGACCGTGCAACTAAAATTAGCAGTGATGAGAGAGCGTGTTTAATCCGTCGGACGCAAGGATCAGTAGTCGTAACTAATCGAACGCGATGCAAGGATACCATAGAGTTCTGACTGCGTCCGTCAACTCGCTTTTTGATAGCGAGGCCTACCCCAGGTAGTATCTCGCCCTCTGACGAAACCATGGACTTTGATGCGTTGTGTCTTCTTTGACTATTTCTATACCTTCTTTTGAGTCCCATAGTTTCTGATGGTTCTATGTCTATTCGTAGACTGTTGCAAATATATATCGCTATCAAAAAAGCTGCAAGCACCCACCCGAATCGGTCGTATAGAACCATCTTGTGGCTTGACCTAGCTAGCCGCAGTATCGATGAACGGTGCATATGGGTAAAATCGAGTGAGTTGTTTGAAAAAAACCTCGACGGTTGGGTTTCCGGGTGGATCTGCACAAAATCAAATGTTTGATGCGAGTCGATATTAGTGTACCACTAGAATCTGGACTGGTTTTACGCCATGTATGAGGAGCGAATGTCTAAAAAAGTGGACTGAAAAACATGTTGGGCTGTTCTGTTGAGTATGCATGATCAAACCTTTTAAGACTTACGCGCTCTGAGTTCGGCACAGACAAGGGTAATGTCAGGATGTTCGATAGTCTCATCGATCCGGATCATCGTTTAGGTAAAAATGGCTACTAAATGGAGAGAAAGGAGGTGAGGACCTTGAGATTGTAAATAAAAGTTTCATGAAATTTGTCGCACGCTGTTTAGGTGGTACTCTCTCTGCATTTCAAGTAGGAAGACGAGACAAAGGTCTAAGTAAACAGCACCATTACTAAAATTAGTACTCGCAAGGAAGTGGATCGTAAGACAAAGGCAGTCCATGTCGTCAAAGCTCGGTAAGCAGGGAGATTATTGGCGGGAAAGAGATGAACATTTCCTATGCGCGGGATACGTAAGTGCTCAATTCGCACACCACCTATACATTTAGTGTGGGAGTAGGCATGTATGTGTCAGGCGACCACTGAGTTGTAAGTAGACAGCTCAAGCAGCAAAGAAATAAAACGAGTTGAGATGGTGACCTACTCTAGACTGATGATGGTGGTTGTCCACAGCTATTAATATCATCCAAAAGAGCCAAAGACATTATTTAAAATCCATCGAAATTACAGCTTAATCTCCGCTGCCCACGAAACTTCTCACTTCTGTGACCACTCACTGGTCCCCGTGAGACTCAGACTGATTTTCGCTTTGACTGTGATCGCATTGAACACGCGCTTATCTGTCATCAAACAATGGATCAAATACACATGAAAAATCCTTCGACTTTGTTGACCATACCATCTTCTGGTATAGCCTGCCTCAGAAGAGCGCGTCCGGGACTGCCTCTCATTTTTAAGCCAAAACCGCGACCCTGGATCACTAGGAAGCTGCCTCCATAGTACCGCACAACTGGGAGTTATCAGGACTGACATGAATGCCCTTTCCTCATTACCTTTGTGATAAATGATTCCGTCCTCACAGCTTCTTCTAGAGTTGTAGCTATGTCGGGTAAACAACTGATATAAATTGAACATGTGGACGACAGCTCTTATAGGGGCGGACCCGATAGGTATATATGCATTACTGAAACGACACTGGACCTTGAAGAGGTGCGATGGTTTGCGTACTTCCGAGACCCAATGAGCTAGGCTTGGTGACGCATTTTAAGTGCCTTCAGAACCACTTATACCAGACTGGTCAATAGACGGGAGTTAGACCAGCTCAGTCTCAGCATCTTCGGAATATAAGAATAGATAGATGACTCTTATTATGAAAAGGCCATGGGGGACAACAGGTTTACGATTGAAGTAGAGCACGAGCGCCGTGCAGGGCAGCTCTGCTGCAACACTGCCACTAGCTGACTCATCTGAGCCAATGTGGGATCCTGATGTCACACCTACCACACCAGCTCGCCATGTATAGACGAAACAAGGCTCTTGGACCCGACGATCCACCTCAATCATTACTTAAAGGTGCAGATGACTCTGTTGAATGGGGTTACTGCTCTAACGCGATTTGGTACACTGAAGAGGTGTCTTCATTTTGGCGACTGTTAACTGCCAAGCTTATCTTCAAGAACGGTCAACGTACATTGTGTGAAAATCGAGGCAACAACTCTGTTTCAGTTACCTCTGAACTTCTCACAGGTATCATTCTTTGATGATTTGTCCTCGTGAGAGCTGAATCATTGAAAACCATGCCGGCTTCGGCCCTGGTCATGGTTTTAATGGCCACATATTTACACTTCATAAAGTTTTGAAGCAGACACACATACAGACGACTGACTATGGTGGTTTTCCTTGACCTGAAAGCCGCCCTCGACTCTGTTGACCGCGCTAGCTTGTGGCACTGCCTATACATGAAAGGCGCGTCGGTTAAATTCCTTTCCATTATGCAGTCTCTCCCGAGGCTGTGCAAGGGAAAATGTCCCACCACGACAAGTGGGCTCACTAGAGTTGTCATACATCCCCTTTCTTTGTCAATTTTATTATCGAAATGATCATGAATGACTCGGTTCTTTCAGACTCTACCGGAGTGGAAGTTCTGCCACGTGACCGATTGACAAACCTGGAGTATGCGGACGATATAGCTCTTCTTGGGCCTGACGCAGTGGCCATGGAAACATTGCTGGATAGACTGACGCGTAACACTGCACGCTTCGGCATGTGGTTTGCACCTTCCGTGCAAAGTGCTGCTGCTGGACTGGTACGCCCTGGGTTTTAGCTATCAGCGAACAGCCACTGAAAGTGATGGATCGGTCAACGTACTTTGGTAGCTGTCACCTCTGAGGAAGTTATTTCGCATATCAGCAAGGCGCTTGTGGCATTTTAGAGACTCAACCATCTATGACGACTGGGAGATATCAGCCTGTCAGTAAAAGGTAGGTTGTGTAACGCTGCGGAAAGGCCGTTCTTACTGGATGGATCAGAGATCTGGCTAGTTCGCATTGAAGACTTTAAATGACTAGCTGTGTTTGATGTCTGGTGCTTGCAGAGTATTGCTCACATCTGGTGCAAACACTGGGTGAGTAATGCTGAGCTTTGCCAGTAGGATTTTGGCAAGAAACCTTCCGGTGCCTCACGGTCGTGTCATTTTTAATGACTCTTTGTCTATTCATAGACCGATGCAAATAGATATAAGTCGTGTCTGTTGAACTTGAACAGTTTAGGTTGGTTAGATCCTGCTATTCATGTGCCCGTTGGAGAAAACCAGACATGGTGCAGTCACGCAGTCCGTGGATTTAGTTCCTTGCATCTAGCTGTTAAATTTCATACCATCTCGATTAGTTTAGCGCACTTTTTGACTCAGCTTTTGTATTTTAACTGCGTTTAAATCAATTTTACTGTCATTATTTATTTTCTTTTGGCGACGTGAGTTGGGGTAACTGCATCCACCACTCTTGCATGCCCGGATCTAGTACAACGACTGAAGCGTAGCGCAGTCCCCATCGGGGAATTTCTCGCAATCAGATTGAGAACGACGTATCATCATAAACAGCAGTACATAAGCCGCTTGAACTGATGCTTCGCTGCCACACAACCACAAAGACCTGCAGAATGAAGAATAGTAAGAAAAAAAGAAGGACTAACTCTGTCAAAGCGATTGCACCATGTGAACAAAGTACTGTCACAAACAGCTGGCTATCGTACAAAGATAAGGCGGTATCGGCGAGATAACTTCCTTGCAGCTTTCACTGCCCCATGTCATGATCAGCCATTATCCCGCAGATAGCTCAGCCCCAACCACACTTTAAACAGGCAGTCCACTGGTGTTGACTGCGAGTCATGTGCTGTAAAGTGTCGAGCCAAGCACAAGGCGAGTCACGTGGACTCCAGCCTGGAAGGCGAGACAGACGGACGGCACCCAGTTTGGTCGTGATAACTGAGCTGCTAGGCCACCGGTACTTGTGATAACGGAGTAGCCATTGGAGGTAGGCGGCAGATCCAGTTACTTGGAGGCTGTGCAGCCTGCGAATATCACCTTAGAGAGGAAATTAGTAAATCCCGTGTGGTATTTCAGAGTCTCATCCATCTGTGCAGACGTCTGGCAGTCAAAGTAGGATGTGTAAGGATGCGTTAGGATTGATTTCTCTATATGCATGCACAAAAATGCCTAGTGGGATTTCATCATCGGTGCTTGTAGAACATTTCTCACATCGGGTGTGAACACCGGTTGAGAAATACTGAGGACTCCCCGTTGGTGTTTGAGAATAAACTCTGGTGTCTCACTGAAATGTTTATTAAACTTGAACCGATTACATCGGCGAGTTTGCTTTTTCCCATGCCCGTTGACCACTTCTCACGGCGTGCATTATAGGCTATCGCTGCACCCAGCTGTGAAAAACTGTGAAGTAGTCAATGGATGACGTGGGAAAAGAACATGAAGAGTGATACGTATAGTCGTCGTGCACAAGGGATTTAGGATGGTCAACGTAATAATTGGCGACCCTATCGGACATGGCACATTCGCGCAGTTAGTGGTGCTTTTACACTCGGTTCATTGCGCCTAGTCTTTGGTGTTTGACTCTATCAATGTCATTTTATTCCTTCATGCTGTTTCCTATCTGCCTCACTTTTATTCACCGTAGTTGTTTCTTGTAATCCAGGTAACGCGATCCGTTGCTACTGGATCTATCGTTGGTGCAAGATGCGGGGCTACTCGCATCTAGTCAGCATTGCTCCAATCAGTCCGACGGGCCAAATATTAGCCAGGGAAAATATTTCGAATTAGTTGGGTAGTGGTGCGTTCGGTACTGATACCGAACGTGCATAAGACATTTGGTTCAAAGCGACATCCGCGACCCCAGATGCTGTAATGTGGGTAGCAGCGGTTCGCCTTGAAAACATAAAGGTAGCAAATAAGAAGAACTATGGCGGATTTGCGATGTATTCAAAAAGCTTTGAGACACGGTATTTGCAATAAATAAATTGTGTATTCTCGACTAAGCGAGGCATGCCTGCGCAGGCATGATCATGTTAAGAGTATAAAGTGTGATCAATGTGGAACAATGGGATTGTTGCATATGTTTATATATGAATGTATGTAAGTTTGCATGTAGGCATGTTTAGCTTTCTTTATGGGATTGGTAAATGCTTCATGTCGTTTTGCCTGAATGTGGTTGAAGGTGTCGCCAGTGCTAAATGGATGCTTGCTATCTGTGGACTTGAAGCGATTGTCCGGATAAGCAATGGGTGACTTTAGTTAGTGGCGATTCACAACCGCCACGTCACAGTGTTGTTAAACGGACTTTTGTGGCTTTATATAGGTAGAACGTTTGCCAGGCAAAAACCCACCACCTTCTGGAACACTGCCGCCGAACTATTTGCAGGAACGGGGTAAACACGAACCACTCAGCTGGCACCACGAGGAGGTTGTTCGGCCAGCCAGGACTGATGGAAATATAATGTGAAGATCATAACCTACTTAATTCAATTACGCGGAATGAAGAACAGTCAAAGAGGAGGCTGTTTGGTACCATCTGTACCCTTTCTACCGATGAGCCGTTCCACTGATGGTTGTGCGATATGACGCACCAAGGATAAAAGGCCATGGAGAAGTTGGAGGGTCAAGTTTGGACTACACGTTGTGTGATTGGATTGCGAAACGCGTCGTGGTTGTGCAGTGTTTACGGGTGGGCAACATCCAATTTCTATCCATGGAGAAGTTATTTACCGAAAAACGAAGATGGAGTAGTGTGCCTTATGTGGATGCACCATGAGGCTCATTCCGTGTCATATGATCGAAAGATCATAACGCACTGAATCATCTATTCGGCAAGATCTACTCCACGTGTCCAGTGATGAAGGAGAAAAAAGAGGAATCCTCCAAGCACTCCGCTGGCATCAAGATTCATGCAAAAGAGACTACGGAAAGTGTCGTTCACGAAAGAGGTTTGAAGAGCTTCTGGCGACCAAACAGCATCGAAGAGCAATGCAGAGACGCCCTAACACTAGAACACCGCGAACCCCATTGATGTATGTCTGGGCTATGTGTAGTCAGTGGGAGCAGGTGAGAAAAGACCACAAGAAGACCGAGGTGGGACATCCATGTAAAAGAAGCCAGTATAAGCGGTGTAGAGGCCAATGGAGTATACAGACTGTAAAAATGGGACAGAATTGTCGACTTTTGGATTATCAAAAATTCGCTAGGGATACTTAGAGAAGTTGAACAAACAGCATAAGAAACAAGGAGATTTTGCAATATCGGCACACATTATTCGGAAAGCCTAGATGCACTTTTCTGTGCCAATCACGAAGAGAATAGATGATTTTAGATTGCATGTGCGCCACTTGAAAAAGACGATAATTGAAAAACCAATTGAATGACCTAAAGCGTCCGTAGCTGATAGATCTAAATAACTACATGGTTGGCGGCATCCGCTTCCGGACTTAAACGTCACTGCGGCCTTCATAGAACGCCTGTGCCTACAGAACCATGGGTGGCTTGTGCTGCACCACCTACAGCCCCATCCACACACCTCATATCCAGTGTAAACTCGAAGGAATAAGATCGGGAGACATGTGGATGGGTGTCACGTTTCATCAAGGGAGCCGGCCCACACTCCTTCAACATGCAGACCAACATTTCTATATGTCTAACTGGTAACTATGACTACCAGACGTACACAAGATGTGGTTGGGCCGCAGCCCGTTGGATGAATCACTCTTCTTGCCTAGCAGTCTCGTCTCCTCAAATAAAGTCCAACTGCTTCCTGGAGCCAGTAATCGAGGTGGAGGGTGTTAGACAGGTAGGCACCCTGTCAACATTCACATCAAGCGTAACCACATCAAGGATATGAAACAACCAACACATAATTTGGAGGATAATAAACACGCATAGTTGATGAGGAATATGAAACGGAATTGAGCAGATCAAATAAAGTGAAATATTTTTTGTACAGACTAAGAAGATAGTTTAAGTGTAAATCGGTGTAGCCCATCTGCGGTGAAGGAGCAATAGGTATGCAACATCAATCTCAGCAAGAGGCACTCATTAAGTAGCTACCTACAAAGGAGTTAAAGCCTAAAGGTAAGTATCCGGATGTCGAGAATGTTGCCAGAATGATGATCTACCATATCCCTCTGCTGCCTTCGAGTACACTTGGTTGAAATACAAGTATCACAATCTCACGGAGGATTCATAGATAGACAGACCGGAAAATAGGGTGGATACCATATAAGGACTGTATGGTAAGAGCGAGATAACAGAAACATGAATCAGAGGAGTTCGGTCCAACTGCCCCTATTCACTCACTCAAGAAAATGCCTGAAAAATCAAAGCAGACCTTAGTGAAGATGGCTACTCGGATTCAACCTGAGCAATTCATTGGTTTGTGATCAACAAGAAGAACAGTACATTGGGCATTTGAGCTGATGCTTCGCTGCCACACAACAGCAAGGATTTAAAGAAGGAATTATAGGATTAAGAGAACGGGATCTAGCGTAAAACCTGAAGGCCCTATGCAAACACCTAGGGACAAGTGTGTTAAGCTTGTCAACGAAATACAGTTAAGGTGGTATCGAAGAGACAGCTTTCTTGCACTTACTTCTACCCAACTTATTTATCAGTCATTATGCCGCAGATAATTAGAACAGGCAATCCATCGTTTTAAATACGCTGGTGCCAAAAGACACCGGCAATGACGCTCAATGACCTAAAGGCGCCTCAGATCGAAGAGGCCAAGCTGCACTTCCATGGAGTGGGACGGCTCTCAATATGACCATGTAGACACGACATTCCAGAATGAGTAAAGTCTCCAAATGACGCGACAAATGTCGCAGGTTCAAAAAAGTAGTACTAACTTTTGAAATCCGTACACTTTAGCAGCCACATGCTCTTCGTTACCAACGAGGCAACCAAAGTAAGTGAGTTGGTCAAATACTTCTAGTTCCTCGTCGTCAGTGTTCGAATGATTATCAAGGGGGTGGTGGTACTGCAAGAACTCTGCACTTTGAACGTGCGAAGCACACGTCAAACGATTGGAGTACTCTAAGAAGGTAATCCAGTGTTGTCTGGGATACCACAACATCGTTAAGGGCGAGACACTATCATCCGTTTTACAACAGGCAGTACAACTATTGCATCGTGAGGTTCTGTAAGGAAACAATCCGTGATGGAGTACACGACGAAGTTGAACACAAATGGAGAGTTTCACAACCCGGACGAAAGCCACTTGTCGCCGGGAAGACATCCAATAAATCATTGTAGACACTGACTAGGCCTGTGGTATTGCAGTACAAGGCACGAAGAATGCTCACATATTTCTTAAGAATACATTTCCAAGAAAATATTTCGAACAGAATATATCGATCGAATCCTTGAAGTCCAGGAACATGTGTGACGCTGCTCCAACACATCGCCTACACAAGTTCGTCCTGCGCAGAAACAAAGCTGCTCCCCAACCATCCAGGATTCATGTTCCGCAGTGAGGTGACAAAAGAGAATTGAGGCTAGTAATTTTTCCACTACCCGCATTAGACTAATACTCCTATGGTTAGCATATTCGGTGCGACAGCTGTTCTTGTATACTGCCACCGTGATCGACTTACTTCAGTTTGCTGTGATGGTGTAAACCTTCGAGTCTTGTATGGACAGGTGGTTGCAAATTATCTTGCTAACATTAAGGGTTGTGATCGCGTTTCCATGGTGCCTCTAAACTAACCGTCTATGGCTAAGCCAGCATCATGTGAGTAAAAAAGGGTCTAGGAGCATGCGGCGAACTGAACTTTCGTGAAAGTGCTCAACCAAACGAGCTATACAACGCTCCTTATTGCGAATCTGAGTGCCCGTGCTGTCTCTGAACGTCTCACTGACGTCAGGTTTCCTGCATTTCTTGATCCATACTTGTCCACTAAGCTTTTGTGTCAGCACACAAGCTCCCCGTTACTTCGCGCCAAATAATCCGTCCGATTACATTGTGCTCAGGCTCGTAAATGGTATGGTGACGAATCAACAGTGCATCGCGCATGGTGGCCGATATCTCAATACACTGAAGCTCGATGTCATTAGGGTAAGAGGGTGAAAGTTCCGTACGCAGGGCATTCTGCTAGGTTGCAGATCGAGTGAGATGCTTGGTACATATCCCCGAAAAGTTCATCGTAAAACGACGGCGTTCCAAAGCATGCTCAAAGTCGACGCGGATATTCCGGAACGAGCGACAGTACAAGTTGAAACCACGCCATCCACATTTATGGCAATGAGATCTAATTGGATCCATCATTGGCCAGCTAGAGAACATCAAATGGCGATTCGTCGCCTACTGTGGCTGAAAGCCGTGTTGCTAATAAACAGAAGGTGCTGCGCGCACATCTGTAATGGACACTCGTCGTTGTCCATTTGTTCGACGTATCACATAGCTGAGCTTCTGAAGAGTCCAGGTGACCTACTTGAGCATTCATATCCCAAACAACAATAATGGTATCAAAACTGGTAATAGCATGTTCAGTTTTTGTTAGAAGGCGTCCTTGGCAGCAACAGAACTTTAGTGCGTGGAGGCATAAGCGGAAGCCACCTACAAACAGCCTCTTGTACTTCTTCGATAAATCAAAGTTAGTAATGTGATCAAATGGGCTGTACACAAAGGCAAACGGGCAGGCAGAGATCTCAGATAGCTGCAGTTTCCGGAAATACATGCTGTTATGGTTTTCTAACTTCAAGTTCGAGATAGCTTCGTGAAACAACTTAACTTTTAAACATATTTCAAATAGGCTTTCAATTGCGCAAACAGGATGAACGCGAAACTTTTTTAGAGCCCTGCTAATACATGTACGACCTGAGGAAAAACTCGCTTTTCCTCCACGATAAAAGTATCCTTATGTCCCTCACAGTTGCCAGTGAATGACGGTACCAGAGTTTGAGAACATTCAAATGATTTCTAAGATACCTCACACTGGAATCATGACTTCCGGATCGGTTCGAAGTATATTCCAAGAGTTAGGGCATTCAAATGAATATTTGTCGGACTAGTTTCGTTATGGGTTCGCGTAAACCTTAGGACATGCCGTAGCTCAAAATCTACAAGTAAGCAGTGTCATGAGTGTCTCAATCGTGAAACACATATGGCATTCAGATACTGAAAGTTCACGGTGAGCATGATGCAGTTTTTGGGCCAGCCTGACTAAAGTCGACCAACTGACATGTATAGATGCTAAAGCCGTGCCCCAGAACGATAATAACGACATACTCCAGTGAAAAAACCTTGTCTCCAAATAGAGGGGACTGGAAGTGCGTAGCAGAAGCAAGCAAAATGAGTCGGAAAGCAAACTACAAAGCAGATCTATTGGTAACGCCAGCAGTTCGCTTCCGAGTGTGCAACAGCTCATAAACGGGTAGAAGAGGATACCGGACTGATAGTGCAGGGTTATTTTCATGTTGACAGGAAATCACAAGCTGAGTGCGAAAGATAGCGTATCAAAAGGAAATAAGATGGGACATGCATACAGCAGAACACATTCACAGTATCAAGGGCACTTCATTTGAAGGACATTAGGGTACAATACACGTCAGGTGGGAAGAAAATGACTCGTTTCACACGCAGTTGGCGGTATCTCCAGAGGACACGGATAACCGGTTCAGATGTGCGCGCAGTTCCTCCTCTGTCGCCAGCTTATCCAACTGATTGAAGGCTAGCTGCTTGCCGGATGCCTGTTCAGCTTTAAGCTTCTCGATTTGAATGAGTTTCTGGACAAAACATTGAAAAGATTGCAGGAGTATAAGCAATTCAGCGCATGAAGGTACAGTGAAAGGACAAGTGAACGGCAAGAATTAGCATTGTGAAGTACACAAATCTTAGAAAGTGACTTTATAACAGTGCATTAGTCTATGGTATTATCTGATGAATGTACAATGTTTCGGTCGATCAAGACAAGCACTATGCACACGCATATATGTGTGACTGGCTCGTCGAAGATGTAAGTGGTTGGACTGTTTCAAGGTGGCCGAGAGATGACAACTAAGAAAAACAAAAAATCATAGAAAACATCAGTTTGAGTAAAACGATTGTTTTCAATGATCCATCTAATGTCCAGTACACATCTCGTAAGTAATGAACGGTGATTGGTTCGGAGGTTTGTTGAGCCATAGGTAAGTAAATGGTTAGATAGCAAACAGCTCAGCGATTCATGCTCACATAGATTGACTGGGGTTACATAATCCCTTCAAAGAAACCTCCCTCAGAGACAATTAAGCGTTGATGCACTCACAACAAGCGGGGGCCCTTAAATCAGTCGTTGCCATTTCACTGGAACACCGTTTTTACTTTATCTGCCGCAGATTCGACAGCACTGTACTGCGCTGATTTTTAAAACGTGCTTTGAGATGCTGTGCGTACTATGCACAAATTTAGCAAAGTCGCTTTTGTAACTTAAAGAACCATCGTCCCAATTGACAAACTAGGGTCCGACGCTGTAACTTCAACAGAAAGCAAATGCGGATGATTCACTTATTCAACGGTAATTATTACATATATGTATATATGGGACCGTATTCTGGTGACACCACTGCACCTGATGTCAGTTTTCCAGCGATAAATTTGCATTTATAAGTTTGCCACTATAATCCATCCGCGGTAGTTATTGCAAAATGCTGAAAATGCATCCTTGCGAGTACATAAAGCCTATGTTGACTTGACTTGACATCAGAAGTTTATGGATTATGTTAAACAAATCAGAGATAGAAGAGTACAGAGGAAATGTGATGACTTGACATGATCGCAGCCGCATGAAGTTTCAGGCTACGTTTCCAAGCCATCCCGAGAAGTACGTTCACAAGTACTCAAAGTTAGTCCTTTCGCTTGAACTGCTTGCCAATCGATTCGAAATTCCGTTACCCTAAGGGCAGCGAACGTCAAGTACATACCAAGATCCAGTTCGAAAACTTGTTAACACAAACGCATGATTTAGCAATGCTATCAAATGATCTTGAATGCCTTAAGTCCTCATTGGGTAATCGTGGTTACGAATCTCGAAATATCAAGCAAAGTAACGTGGCCTGATTATACGTTAATATGTGGTGGCTTTGAATGAGTTGAAAAATATAGTCATCTACAAGTCGGATAAAGGCATTCGCATAGTGTTGACGGACAGACGTGATCACCTTTCGAAACTAAACAATATTCTAAAAGACGGAACAAAGTTTTGTGTAAAAGTGAGTGGGAAGGACCGAACGGGATAAGACGTGTCAAAGTGCCTAAAGATCTATCTACCCATGAGTTAATACCTGCTTGTCTACCCTAAAGTCTAAGGCCAGTCGGAACATTTACCTCTAGCATGTATGGGCTCGAAAAAGTACATAAAGGAGGCGTATCTCTACGTGAATATTGTACATGACAAACTCAGCTTACCAACCCACAGCCCAGTGGTTGGCAGCAATGGAACTCATAACGAATTACTCAACATAGTGTTCGTGATAGTTTTACATTCGAATAACAATGTCCAGCGACCTGAGGTGCAATGAGAATGTGCCGCCAGTGTCGCATGGGGGGAATCGCGGAGTAAATACGAAGCTCGAAATTTGCAGGCTGGTTTCCGATAAACAGCAAATATCGATCAAGAGAGTTTCGAGTGTTCGGGCGAGTGCTGCCTGTTGGCCAATCTGTAGCAAAGCGTGCACGTTGAGGCATGTCAGTCTTAGCGAGGATCGAGGACTCCAAAGGGAAACGGATGAACTGACGTTGTCCGCTTGGTTGAACATGGACTTGTCGACTGGATTGGAGCGACGCCCTGCGACTGTGTGTGAGTTGGAACTAGAAGACAAGCGACTATACAAGTAAGTTAGGGTAGAGCCAAGAGTTGGGGGATGGAAAACGGGAGGATGAAAATGAAGTTGAAATGGGACGCTAAGGGTAAAAAGGCGCAAGAGGGAGAAAAAGAAGGCGGGAAGGACTGAGCAGTAGCATCCAAACCCATATCCATCCTGCTCGATGCAGCAGATACGGCACCGCTTATTATGCTCTGCGACGGCCAAAGCATCAAGAGATTGTTAGAAGGAAAAGTCATGGTGTATTGCGTGGGCAGGATACTGTCAGGTTGCCCAGGCCTAGACAGGAGAACGGGTAGGGTTCTCAACCAAATCCTTTGGTTTAAAAACCTTACTGCAAGGCAGCGGGGTTTTGGCATTGGACTAAAGAGCCCGTTTTATGGAGTAAGGAGCCACTCTCACTCCAACCCCCAACCTGGAGGGCCAGGAGACTGAGTTTGTCTGGCCTCTAACCATTGACCAATCTGGTATGAGTGGCTCTGAAGGTGCAAAAAGCACCACCCAGCATAGCTCAGTGGATCACTGAGGCACACAAACCATCGCACCACGTTAAGGTCCAGTCTCATCGCGATGGACAACAACAACAAACAGTACCGGCAGAACGTCGGCGTCACAACAGGACCCCCACTCAAGCCAGTACTGGCTGATATTTTTCTTGTCAAACTAGAAACTCAATCATTGAGTCCACTTATAGATCGTTTTGAAACAATATGGACATGTTTCGCATGACCAGTAGAGCTATTGGCCTGGAAGATATAATGGGAGAATGGAATAATGCGCACCTGGTAATCAAGTTCACCTATGAGCGTGAACAAGAGGACCAGCTCTTATTTCTCAATGTATACCTGAGTAAGCGAACTGATTATTCCCTATTAAAGGGGATCAACAGAAAAAACATGGACTTGTAAGTATGAAAACTTCAGTAATTTTGTAGTGTTAAAATATAAACGCAGGTTATTACGCTGTCTCACGTCAAGGAAATGAAAAACATGTTCAGAAGATGTTCTGAAGGACGAGATGTAATGCGAAAATGGTTATTCGGGAAGGTTCATCTGGTGCAACATGCAGGCCAAAAGGACATCGAATGCTGGGGGGTTAGTTGAAAAGAAAGCTCTCTTTATTCGCCTTAGTTTTAAAACTAATATAAGTACTGAGTTTAGAACAAGACAATCGATATAGTCGATAAGAATTATTTTTCCGACTGCGGAACTGCGATGTATGATCGCCAACTTCCGAGTGCAGGAAGGACAGTACGTCGAAGCTGAACTACTGTAATATAATCTATCAAGTTAAGTGCACATGTGTCACAACATATATTGGTCAAAACGGCTCGGTAACTGTCACGTCACATTAAGGGACATATCCATAATTATGGTTGGCGAAAGGAGCTCCGGGGTTCTGACAAGTGGGATTTTGTCCCACGGGTTCGAAACAGGTCATAGGGCTAACCTGCAGAATGTGCTTACTATGGTTCACCATATTCCCATGATTGCTCGCCACAGCAGAAGCTACTACGATCCGAATATTCCAAACGTCGTTATACTCATTAAGAAGTTCGCTTCATGTTTTTGTCTACCTTGTCCGAGCAGCGATGCACCTAACCGCCACTATGACATCGGTTCCGTCAGTGTGCTTACGTAACCCCAATCGATTTGTGTGAACAAGATAGCGGCAAACTATCTACTGTTTAACCATTGACCTACTTACGTCTGAACAAACGTCCGAACCAATACCCGTGTTAACTTTATATGATTTGTATTGGCCTGTAGATGAATTATGTAAACAATCGTTTGCTTCATAATGATGATCTCTATAATTCGCTGCGAATGTTCCACATGATAAAATTATGGTCTACCATTCGGTTGATGAACAACAGCAATTGTATGACACGCCGTTAAAGCTACGTATTAGGTCAAAAGCTCGTTACACATTCTTCTTTAATCCAACTGGATATAAAGATCTATTTTACTGTCTGACTCTCATCGTCATAAAAGCATCAGATGTTAGATATGCTTTATCGGACAAAGCAACAAGAGCGCTGGACAGATATTTGGCTATACTGGTATTCATCAGTTAAAACACATTCTACACAGATGCTGCAGGGATCGAACCCACGGCAAGACAGCTTGAGAGTTAGTGACTGCTGGCTCCATGCGTGACTAAGCCATTGGTTGTTGTATAGCGCAACTAGGTCACCTGCGCCATGTGCTCTGATAGCGTGCAGAGGGCAGAGTCAGATTACAGAAGCGAGGTCGCTAGCAAAACTGCCAACTGCCTAATGAGATTGCGTCGGCCGACGTACGCATAGATCTAAGGGAAGTAGCGGTGGAATACATAACAGTTAAATAATGCTTACCCCACCTAGCTTTTGTCATACGGCCAACACATCCGTAAAAGTGAAGCACTTTACCGGATGTACGGTGGCTGAATGAATCCGTCCAGATGTCATAAAAATACAGTATGGGAAAAAAACGGGGATGGCAATTCGTTTACCAAATAAGAAATTAATACCGACGAGCAAAAACAGCATGGGAAGTGAACTGCCAGGTAAGGCAGTGATTACTGAATTGTCGTCTCCAGCTGACCACACATTACACGGTAAAAAACGGTGGGCTTATCAACCACAGCACAGCAGATCAACATTTAGTATGCACGTTAGCTAGAGGTGTAAACAGCGTAGTTAGTGTACCGCAACAGCAGAGTAGATAAAAAAGACAGCTAGGAGTGAATCCACAATAGTGCAGCATCCATTCGACTGTAGTGTAGAGGACTAATCGGAGGCCGCAGCCTAAGAACTTGACACGATTTCGAGACGTCCGTCATCATGAAACGGGTTGCTACCCGGCCGGCGGTAGCACGGCTATTCACACGGGAAGCTGATGAAATCGGTCCGTCATGGCACAAGCTGCTACGCGACAGGTGTGAGTGCGAATACAGCTGGCCAGTGTGGACCGCAAGCAGGTTTGGAACTTGTCCAGGCAAGTGGCGCGAGTCAGCTCAAGAAGGTACAACCGGAGAATGTGACCCGTAAAAGCAACCAGGTTCTGTGCCTAATACATTTCGGTCTAGCAGGCTTCAATGTTTTGGTTTGTCATCCACTGGGTTGGTAATGCAGGGAGTAGAGGCGGAGCAGCGTTACAACAACGACCTAGCGATTGAGTAAGCTATCAGTAATGTAGGGTGGCGAGGAATACACCAATTACATGCCCTACAAACTCCGTCTATTATTGAGTTAAGCGTCACACATACACAATGGGATGATTGAATCTAAACAGAGAGGTGTTCAGCAGCAAGGATGAGAAGGCAGCCGACAAAGAAGCAAGAACTGATCCAAGGACAATACTCGTGCTGGACAAACGACACAGTGGATGTATTAGGCAGCCAAGCAGAGCGATTACCCATGCTGCACTAGGCCGGGCAGACAGTTTGGTTTGGCGCGATGCCAAACATGTGATCAGACGGCTAACAACGGAACGCGGATGGCAAGGTCGTGTGGGCGTCGGCCGTGTGAGCGCCGATCGTGTTAACGAGGTTGTGAGAAATATGGGACACAGGTGGGATGTAAGTGGCTAGTGAACCCGGAGTGGGCGTCGACGGAATGTACGGGAGCTGTACTCCGGCACGCACAAACGGCTAAATATGGTAACCGAAGCAAAAAGACACGCGTTCAAATTGGTCGAGGCCATCACGCTGACGAGGTTCGAGGTTTTCTTAATTAGAAGTTTAGTGACCTATAAGTAGAACCATCCCGTTCCATAGAATACACTGCGTTTACTCGAGTCTGGCTTCTGTTTTCACGGTTGGATTAGACACCAGGGATAGCGGGCAGTATGCAGCAGTATCGTAGGTGGGCACCCCAAACAGTAGGCAGCAGTACCGCAAGTGGCGACCCCAACAGGATGTTGCAAGTGAGCATTAGTGAATGAAGTAGTTTCACATAGCGAAGAATTAAGGACAAGCGAGGGTGTTACATTTGACACAGTGCACTATTCAATTACGGTAATCCACATCGGATAAAACAGACAAAAGAAGAGAAAGATAACTAGAGACCGTGTCCGTTGGAGCAAATTGCATGAGGGTCTTCCGTGTTATTCCGTATCATCTGGTGAGGTGATGCGATTGGGAGAACCCGAGTGATCGTCCGTCCATGGATCTATCTTGTCCCCACTAGATGACTTGATCTGGAGTGTTGGCTTTCATCTTAACGCCAAGAACCACAAGCGGTTCACGATGAACAGTGCTGAGATGGTCAGACTAGAAACGCTCAGGTAGATAGGATTTTAAGTGGCCGTATTTGTTACGGAACTCGATCATTCAGTGAAAACCGGTTTATTTGGCAAGGCAATCTGAGCGAAAATGACAGCACAACTAGCAGGTAAAGCCTTGGTGCAGATAACTAGGTCGTTATCATAACTAACAACCCTTTTGCATAAGATTTTTCCTTTAAATCAATAAAACAAACTCATTCCAGCGCAGCCAAATTTTAATTAACCAGCATAGAGGCGAAGTTGCGTAGGCGTTCAATCATCTGCTCCGTTTGCCTGTAGCAATCTAGCCGTTTGATTCGACATGTAGACCAGTCGCGTTCCTCTGAATACAAAAGCTCATCACAGTATTCATATCCAACATCAGGTAACAAACTCAGAAAGTACACCGGTGTGCCTGCGTGCGATGTTTCCGATAAGTGACAAGTAACTGCTTCAGACACAGTACGAGTCACCGAATTGACTGCAGTTAACTTCAAACTGAATCGCACGTGTCGCAATCCATTCATACAATGAGTGTTTCAAAATGACCCCTCCAATTAGCGACGAACCGTAGTGACAAACGTTGCCCGTCGCGACCCGGTGGACAAAGGGGAAGAGGTTTCGGCTGACATTCCATACCTCTAGGTCTTGAGTCGCAGTGCTGCTATCTCTTCTTGATGAATGCAAATGAGTCCGGAACCGCGGATGGAGTGCAATGTTGCGAACGGGTAACGCACCGCAATAATAGAAATATTCCATAAAGAAGGAAGACGAGATGGATATACGAGAGATGGCCTCAAACATCCCGAACACTAACCTTTTTAAGCTGGGCAATCTGCTTTGTCCTCTGAAGCTGCTCATCCGACTGGCAAGCTCGGTCTTCGGCGGACGCTGAGGGTGCCTTCATAGTGGACGTGTCTGCAGCAGGAGCTGACCCAGTGGAAGACATTTTGGTTTTACATTTGGTGGATTTACTCTTTTTCCCCGGATTCAACGCCGCTGTGATTGCACGGGGGAAAAAGGAAACATGAAGCGTATTTGTAAATACACACAAGAGGATTTCAATTTGCATCGCAATTCGCAAAGAAGCAAACCTTGGTCAAATCGATGCTTTCAGAGGACACTGTGCTCTTCGAAATCACAAAAGCATCACAACTACACGAATACTAAATACTGCATTATGAGAGCAAACAGAAATTTAAATATGTACAACTCTGTTGAAATATGATCAAAAACGTCCAGAAAACACCTGCTTATACTCCGATCGCTTTTCGAAGGTGACATCGTAAAAGTACCTGACGCATGCTACCATAGGACCCATAGATGTGAGACAACAGTCCGTGGACATGTGTTCTTGGAACCGAAATGTCGCGAATCATGAATCCAGGAACGCATTAAACTGCTGTACTGATTTCGCCTTCATTACGTGTTCTGGCAGGTGATCCCAACCATTGTCTGTTCGCCACTCGGGGCACAGGGGATGGGGAACTCGCTTCAGTGGTACGCACGCACTTTGAGTGACCAGACCGTGTTCGTGGCTAGCTTAGTCTTGGTTTGATGAGGTTGGTGACCGCGTCAGATGATTGATAGCCATTTCCTCACAATGGTACTGCACATGGAAGGATGCCCACATAGCGAATTCCCCACCCAGAAAAGCGCTTGGACGGAACAATTTCAGCAGTCTGCAGACGTACCAGGTTTGTTTCAGTACAACGTGCACAATTGTAATCAAACTTATTTCTTCCATTAGATACTTAGACAACAGATGAGAAATGTGGACTATCAGTTCAAGACGTTTTAGTAAATCGAAAAACACACAGATTTGGGACACGCGCTGCCATTTCTACTTACCCCAACCAGCACGGTTCACAGGTGTCACTAAATAAGGGAAACCTGTATGCACACAATAAAAGCGTGTTCCTTCATGATTCCGTTCCTCTGGACTGATATTTGGGCCTGCCGCCATAAAATGTTCACGAACTCGGTCTGGGCACACCAAGTGGGTTAGAGCCACCGAAACATCGGTAACCTGCAGTAGGCGAGCAGTGTTCCGTTTGTTGAGTATCTTGAATGAGTCACAGGGGATTTGGCACGCTGGGCAGTCGTTTGTTTACAAAGCGATCGTAATGGTGTATTCGAACCGGAGATCCAACAATCGCCAAGGGGTCTAAGTACTCCAATGCAGAATCGCGGTATCTTCAGTTTCAACAACTATGTGCCACTGGGTTGAGGCGTACGATTGTTACTGGAGGTGTGTCCAGTATACTAAATATTTTGCAGGTCGTGTAGTATTTTGAATTGGAGTAGACCGAGAAAGCCTTATGATACTCGGAGTGGAATCTAGTGAAAGCAGCTCAGCTCCATATAGTTGACAGAGACGAGGTAATCATAGAGGCAGTGCCTCACGAAAGGAGAAATGGGGGGTGGGGATTTATGCATCCTTGTGAGGTCCGTTTGCCTGATCTTTTGGTGTACACTTACTTAAGCTAACGCCGCAAGTACTGTTGCACCAATTCGGGAGCTCTACCACGAGGTACATGGAATAAAAACTACCGCCTACTTTGAATTTTGTTTGTACTCGGTCCATCGACTTCATATGTGACGTTACGTTTGGTATACCTATGGGTGCCAGCGATCATGCATTCACATCCTTTCGATATGTTCTTTCAAGACACCATCAGGTCACCGTTGATTTACGTCCAAATGTTTGGTGGGACGGCTATAGTACGATGCGAGTCAAGGCTTTACTTTCGATCTGTGAGTTCGGCTTGGAAAAATTTAAAGTGTACCTTACGTGATTTTGTGATATAGTGGTGTAAACAATGTCCAAGATTATCGCACTACAAGAAACGAATCGATGTCCGACAAGGGGACTGTTTACGTCGACGTATGAGATGTTACCAGCATGACTAATTCCGCAATGATTTCTCACCTGACAGAATAGTTGGACGATGTCGTACCAAATCGTAGGCACGACGAAGTTAAGAATTTACATGCACACAGATGAACGAAGTTCAGCACGCCGCAGATAAAAACTAGACCACACGGGTGGTATATGGAGAAGTCTCTGTCCTAAAAATGACATTTAGAACTAACTGTACAATACCAGATGAAAAACGGAGAGATAAAGTAAAAAAAGAGAAATCTTTGACTACTACAGTACCCCTAACAGCTTCACGGGACAAGATGAATGTTCGATATGTGCGTCTCATTGATCGTAAAAGGCTAATTTACAATGGGGAACAACCGTACGAACGAAATGTGTGGGTTAGTTGTGGTGTTGGGAGCTGGCTTGCCGTAAACCTCACTGTGGTGCCAGCTGAGCGGCTCATGAATTCCCCGTTCCAGCGAATGGTTAAGCGGCATTGTTTTCAGTTGGCAAGCGCCTTCTCTTTAAAAAGGTAGGTCTATTTAACAACACCAACGTGGTGGATATGACTCGCCACCCTGTTCCTTGTCTATCTCAGAGACATTGTACACCGTCAAGCAATCCGAACGCTGGATTCTATCTTTGAATTCGGGAGTTGAGCCCTTGGTACGGCTTTAGCCATCCGAAAGGCGAAGAAACTGAATCTATAGTTACCGGCTCCCACTGGGTGCGTGACACTTATCTCACCCCGTTGCCTTGTGAATTAGGTCCCTTGGCCAAAGGCTCAGGGTCGTGTTCCCCCAAGAAAACACACCTGTTTCGACCTAGGCAACCGAGTAGTATTTCGCCTACTGACGAATCATGGGACTGCAAATTACGCTCGCTCTTTATTCTCGCTCTCGTGATGGACCGCTATCGTGGTAATACACAAACTGCAAACCCACGGCGCCAATTTACTTGTCCTTCCCTTTTATAAGTCACCACCATTATTATCCGTTTCTTCAACGGTGAACCGCCCTACATCCACCAAAGAATTTGTCCCCTTAACACCTCATATCAAAGGCCTAATACTCGAAAGGGAGTTGCCAACCGCGAAGTCTTAAATCTTCACACCTACAACCTAGAAGGCAGTTCAAACTAACAACCTTCATCGTGCACATCAGAGAGGAAGCTGGACTTACACTCAAGCAGGAGACCCTAGCAATTGATGTCTGAGACCTGAGTAAAACAAGAGTCAAGGATTCCGACACAGTCTGCGAGCCGTTGTCATCACGCTACCCACATACCCGCTTCCATCTCCATTTTGCTGGTGACGATAAATCAGTCGCATCTGAGCAAGCTGCTGTTCGGATCGCTCTCATTGCTAGAGTTAAAGCTACCCTCTGTGAATGCAGTCAAAGGTCGCTCCGTGACTGTTGCAAGGTTAACAGACGTCGAGCCAACAAACGTGCTCCCTTTTTGTGATCTCCACTTACGCGCCAACTGACTACAGCTCTGATACAGTCAAAAACAAATTCTATCAACCCTTCATGAGCTGCTCTGATCGTTGCTATGGTAGGAAAATACAACTCACCCGTCGGTCGGTTGCTGCCATGTGAACGTCACTTTGGGGGACCGCATGGATATGAGAATATTTGCTCCGACAACGGTGACAAACCGTGCAACCTAAATGATAACCGACAAGTATTTCTCCAGCACGAGCCTTTGTCACCCAGAACGCCATGGTGCCACATGGCATCCTCCAGCGGCGGCCGCAAATTTATCACTTAGCCATACGCCGCAGGTGGCGCCGCAGCGTACGCAATTGCTTATCATTTTAATCAACTTGCATTGAAACCTATCTGTTGTGTAGCCCATCGGGAAGCAAGAAGACTGTGCCGCGATCACGAAATCGTTTATTAAGATATCCCTCGAATATTTATAGAGTATATACGTTATTTACAACAGTTCGTTTCAATTGCTCATCCCTGTTATTTGCAGTGTGTCTCTGGCTCACTTTCCACTGGTTTATGCTTGCTTGCCACGTTCACAGTCTAAAATCACCTTGGCTTTCTTAGTGGACGTACGATTGGCGGGATTGAGCCCGCGAGCTTCTTCTCTCGGTCCAATGCCACAAGTCTTGGCTCAAGGGTGCACGAGTATGTGCTCCTTTACCTGCTGGCGCCTGATTGGTCACTTGCACGTTTAGTGGATAGCTGCAGGGTGGACGCGAGTACGGGCCGACTATTTCCTGATTGGCTGACCAATCTGCTTCCGGCAACATACTCACTTCTTATCGGTCTGGCCGGTGACGTTCGATCGGCATTACAGCATTTCCAGCCCCCCTCACACTATCATGCATTTACGTGTGCGTTTCAGTAGGTCACCTATGACCAAACAAACCCAACTGAACACCTACAAGTTGGGGCGACCTAACGGTAAAATAGAGTACCAACAGAGGCTTCGAGAAAATCTCGCTCTCCCACAATCTTGGTGATGGCCAGCTTTGCAACAAACTATGTTATCCGTCGTTTTGTCCAACCAAAAGCTTGATCTCAGAAAGATTCTCGGAACTTCTGAATCGTCGTTGGGCTGTGCCCACTGGTGTGGAGCACCACAAACTGCTTCGGTCTGATAAAAATAATAGTGTCAGGTATACGCCATAGCTGCGCTTCGCTGCCACACGACCACCACGTCGCGCGCCGGCTGAGTATGCTTCGGTCTACCTTACAACAGCTGAAATCAAACCTTTGCTCTGACCGTAAACCCCGGTGGTCAATACGAGCTGATATGATGAAAGCCGCTGCATCGACTGGAAACCTATTATCATCTACGTCTGTCTGCGATTCTCGTTAGACTGAACTCGTTCTCTGTTTGCTCCGAATCCCTGCCAAAAATCAGAATTCAACGCTTGGGGGGAAAAGCTTGTTGCAGAACAAGCTACCGAACAGATAAAAGTAGTGTGAAACCAACGACATTTTAACGAGTGAACCAACGAAACGATCCACGTGTCAGAACATAACTGGCAGATCAGGAAGCTTGGTGCGCACGTCGTATATACATACACGAACGTTCCCGAAGTCATTTGATGTTTTGATTGTACAGCATTGGCTCAGCTTGTATTCTTGGGAGCTTTTACTGTTCATGACAC